TCATACTAATTGTTAGTCCATTATTTGCACACTGAATTGTCGACGGATTTTTGCGTTATTTCCCAATCATGACAAGGAGCACACGGCGGGTGTGACCGGTCGTCAGGGGATGCTTACTCCTCCATGGCACCTGATCCCACCTCTGATGTTTTGGAGGTCCGTGTTTGCTCTGCACCTATTTTGTAATGTTTAATGGACTTTTGAGCTTGAATACTGTTCGTTATCTCCATATATTTCATTGATAAAAGATTATACTAAGAAGATCAAAAGTAGAATCATTCCAGTCTAGCTTCCATTTCTTGTGATGAAAAACTTCTTTAGAAAATCTTTTACTGCTAATCCAAACCATTTTCTTTTTGGGAAATTAATTTTCAAACCAGATATAAATGCAAAATAGTCAAGTTCTCTTAATATACCATCCACAGACTGTGGTGATCCATCATATATTATTGAAGTATCGTTAGCATATTGTGAAAGTTTATATTCTTCTCCATCAATTATATGTCTTATTATATCTTGATTGTTTTGAATTAGAATACCAAGAATTTCAGCACAAAATAGAAAAGGGTATGGGGAAATTGGGTCCCCCTGCCTACATCCTCTTTGAGGGAACAGGTAGTCAGAAGTAATTCCATTTTGTATGACACATGATTTAATTTCATCATAAAAAGTTTGAATCCAGTTCTTAATTGACTCCCCGAAATTAAAAAAGTCTAATGTTTGGTATATAAACTTCCATGATATAGTGTCAATAGCTTTTTCAAAGTCAATCAATATCAATAAGCCTGGAATCTGCTTTTCTGTTTAGTGTATTAAATCATAAACCAGTCTACTATCTTCACCTATGAATCTACCCTTTAAAAACCAGTTCGGCCCTTAATTATTAGTTTATTAAACACTCAATACTTTTAAAATATTTTGAAGGTTTTTCTCCTTCTATCCATTTTACTTTTGAACTGATGCACTGACTAACCCTCATATTTTTTGTTCACGAAGTCCTCTTTTTTATTTCCTAGTTCTTCAGTTGATTCATGAGTAAAATTCTGTTCCAATATTAAGATATCGTTTTCTAATTGCAATTCTTTTTCGGCTATTCTCTTTTTCTTACAAGTTGAATATAAAATTGATTTTCCTCTTATTTCTATCAGTGATATATCCAGGAACAATTGATCACGTAGAGTAAATTGAATAGTATCATTTTCAATGGAGTCAAAATTATAAACAGGGAAGGCATACTGTAATTAAATTTTTTTATTTTTTCTTTTATAAGAATTTTCTGATCGTTACAGATCTTCCTGTGGTGCTAACATTTACTGTGGCTTACGCCTGACCGCAACAGTAGAACGCTTTTGGAAAACCCTATTGATTGATTGATTTAACGTTGTTTTAAGTCCCATTCGATAATTTTTCACTCATATAGAGATGACACCATATACCGGTGAATGGCTTTAAATTTAGACCTTTACTCGGCATTGAGGGTTCTTTATCGTTTCAACGCCTACCATGACACTTGACCTACTCGGTTTTAAGGTCTCATCCAAAAGATCCATTATTTCACTTCTAAAACTGGGCCCTTGGCGAAGGAATATAACTGCCTATTTTCACGTATTAGGTTTGACGCGGCGTTGTGCAAGAGAATCGAACCCATGCCCTCCGTTTGCGAATGTTCATCAAAGACCAAATGCTAATACAACTAATGTAATGTGCTCAAGCAATATTGTTTTTTTAAATCTGTATGGTGATAGCGACAAATTGTAGTGTATTAGCACTGGCACGTAAAAGCAGGTAAAAAGACCTGCAGTTTTTCATATTATATGTTACTGAGTATTAGGGTAACTATTTTATTAATCCCTGATCATCGTATTTCTGTTGCTTTTGAGCAATATACACGTATCTTCATCTATAACTTTTTGTTTTATTTTATACTTCTATGGGTCCTGCACCTTGATGCATGAGACTCTGGTGACTGTTTAGGCCTTTGGACCTCTTGTTGTATTTTGGACTTTTTCGCTATTTGATATTTTCACATTTTCATTAAAGCCAACTTGCATGTATGAAAATTATTCTGTATATTTTTTTTTGCATGTTATGTTAAGTCCAACGTTTTTGGAAAGACTCTCCTTGATTCAAGTATGTTTTTTCTCTACACTTCAATAGTTATAAAATAGGGCGTACTGTTGTTACACAGAGTTAGAGCTGTGTTTTATTTGTGTTTCTGTATTAAATAATAAAGTGTCGCTCCTGTACGTATCCTCCTCATTCAAATGATTTAAAGATTTAAAAGATGTGGATTTACATGCACCTTTAAATCTGGTATATGTCTGTGCTGTATACTTCGTTTTGTGTTATGTGTTTGTTATTAAGTGGGTCAAAAATTCTGTAGAGCTTATTTTATTTTTTACTTGAAAGCTGATTTGAAGTAAAACTTGATTTTTCTTATAAGTAAAACAAACAGAGATAGATTTTTGAAAGGTTTATATATATATGCACAGGTACAGAGCTCCTTACTTGTAAATAGGAGAAACTTTTAACAATGAAGCTGGAATGCTAAATTTTCTACATTTGTACATGTTGCTACTTTAATAATAGTTAGTAAATTAATATTTTTATTTTATTCTGAAAAACTGATAAACAGACTTTTTAAAGACAGAAATACAATTATATATACTTTTATCTCCTTGAAATGGGCAACATATTTCCTTATTATTTCTAAGTATAATTAAGTGATATAACTATTTAACTTCCTTAATTTGTGATATTAAAGTATTGTATCATTAAGCAAACATCATTCACAGGAAATAAACGGATGAAGCAAACTAAAGAGACAGCCAATTACGCAGTGTTACTCAAAGCTTCATACACGCATTTGACATTTCATAATTTTAACGTCTTCGTGACAAATCATGATTTTGTTGTATTATGAGTGTTCATTATAAACTTTTTCACAATGAATTCAAAGGGCATTTGTCAGAAGTACCTGAAATGACAACCGAATCGCACAGCGTATACATATGAAGGACGAGAAATTAAAAAGAAAATGAAAAAATGATTTGTTCTAGTATTTTTAGGAGCTCTCTTTTGAAAATAAAAAAAGTGGTTTGTTATGTAATTAAAACCTGAAATGCCTAAAGAGCATGTTTCTTAAAATGTCTAAAAATGTTTGTTTATTTTATCTTTTCTTTTCATCATTAATATTAACTAAAAATGATATAAAATAAGTAACCAATGATTAAATAAATTTACTTTTTCATTGGTTAAAAAAAGGGATAAATCCTGTTAAATCAATATTTGTACATCTGTGTCATTGGATCTTTTTCTAAACGAATAAACAATTTAATTTTACTTAGTCTCCCGTTATGGCTTTCAAGCAGTTGGCATGTCTTCTACTACTTTTCGAAAGATGTTTCTGTTATGGTTTGTGCTTTTATTATTATCTTTATTATAATCTTATCTTAATCATCACAATATTTGATGTCATTGCACTTCTAATATAAAATGGGACTGCAAAGAAATAAGAGTTGACATTTAGTGTATGTTATAAAGCTTGGCTGTACTTAATGCAATGATCTGCGGTGCTCTGTAGAGCGTTGTTTAATACTTTTTGCTACTTTTGAGGTCAATGCGATGATTTAGAAACCTGAGGAGTACAATATTCACCAAGCCCGAAAGATGAGGTGAATACTGCACTTCCAAGTGGCTAAATCATCGTATCGACTGAAAAGGGCAGCAATAATTGTTTTATTATATGATCCAATGATGAAATGATACAAACTTGTTATGCAATCCATGCCATCTTACTTGCTTACATTTGCTGAAGTCCTAACCAAAAACAATGAAGGAAGCGGAAAATAAACAACCAGTTTTATTAAATAAATTAGGATTTTTAAAGAATTATTTTAGGTGCAGTGTAGAAAAAAAGGAGGACATCATCAGAAAAAACCTGACAATTTTACTAAGGAAAAAACTTGCCCCCTAAAGATATTTTTCTCCTAACTAAATTTTATTTATTTAGGGGGAGGGGAAGGAGATTTTAAGGTCCATTACATATGTAACAGGAGATGGGGCTGTCTTTCAATGAAATATATGGAGAGAACGAATAGTGTTCAAGCTCAAGTCCATTAAACAATACAAAATAGGAGCAGAGCAAACACGGACCTCCAAAACATCAGAGGTGAGATCAGGTGCCATGGAGGAGTAAACATCCCCTGCCGACCGGTCACACCCGCCGTGTGCTCCTTGTCATGATCGGGTAATAACGGAAAAATCCGTCGGCAATTCAGTGTGTAAATAATGGACTAACAATTAATATGAAAAACGTCAGTCAACATTTGACTCAATGATAAATTGTATTTGCTGTCAAGGTCATTGTATCGACCATAGAACTTACGAAATTATTACTTTAAACGAGACTGCTGATATTCTTGTTTCATCAAATTGTTTGTCAATAATTGTCCTCGTTTTAGAAATTGTACATACGTAAAGCATGCTCTTGCGTATCGAATCAAGGTATATTGCTGCATAAGTAAGGGAAGTTGACGATTGAAAAGTTAAAGTCATCAGGTTTATCATTAAGCTTTGTTGCTAGATTACCATTAACGTCTTTTACAAGTAAAATATCCAAATATAAAACATATGTGTAAGACTCTGTGGTATCTTTTATCTCAAGCTCACCGGAATATATCGTATCGACATTAGAATGGAAATAACCATTGTCAATTGACAATACGTCGTCGATATATCTAAATGTCGAGTTGAAGGCCACAGCAAATTTTTTTTCTTTTCACGTATAAGATTTTGGACAAATTCTGCTTCATGTGAATACAAAAATAGGTCTGCTAATAACAATTGGTACCCATGGGAATTCCAATAGATTGTTGGAAGACCTGGTCTCCAAAAACCACATAAATATTGTCAATCAGAAACTCAAGCATCTTTTTAATATCAACTTCAGAGTACTTGTGTGTGCAATCAGAATGTGTTTTAGCAAAATAATTTTCCAAATGACCAATGACAAGGTAAGTGAATTTACGATTTCCATTTTTATTGAAAAACAGATGTCAATGATATCAAAAAGCCTGGACTTTAATTTATCGTGGGGAATGGTTGTGTATAAAGTTAAAAAATCGTAAGTTTTTAAGCTGTTGATTTTGGTAAAATCTTGTGATTTCAAATTTTCCAAAAGATCCTTGGAATTTTTAAGTATCCACATCTGGTTTATACCACTTCTCGAATATATTGTTGCACAGTACTCTTGAAGTTTCTCCTTCACTACTGTTAATATCTTAGTGAGGAGTAAAGAAAGAGGCTTGGTTGAACATTTACTGGAACCCACTATGTATCTTTGTAATGATTTTCGGAATACAATATAGATATGGTAATTCAAATTCATTTTGGTTGTTTGGAATATTTAAAATATTCAAAACTGACATATGATTTTGAAGAATTTCTTCCTTAGAAACGGAACTATGAGTGTAATAAGTTGGATTACCACTTGTAGAATTAAATCCAAGTTCCTCTAAAATACATTTAATATAATGAGTCTTACAAACAAAGACAATGTTGTTATCTGCTTTTTCAGCAGGGACCAGTACGTACTGATCATGTATCTAATTCTTTTTTCACTTCTGGATTACTGAATACAGAAGGATGGATGGTTTTCATATTGCCCCTCAATCTTTTAATGCGCGATTTTAACATACATCTGATACATTTAATCCATTCTAACAAAGTGTCAAGGTCTTCTTTTTCATGTCTGGCCCATCGCAAGAATCCATAATATCTATGAAATTCCGACGCCAGTTGAAGGATCGGGGTTCCCTATTTTTAGGACCTTTTAAAATTAGTGATCTAAGGTCCTCATTATTTACTATATTTACGTCACCAGTAATAACGTGTCCAGCAGGACTATAGTTATAGGGTGAAGAAGAACATGAACACGATGGAGGATTATGTTTCAGTTATTCGATATCCAGGCCTTGTAAAGTTTTCTTGTAATTAAAAAGTTTGGAAGCAATAGTCGATGTATATTTGTAGAAAGTACAAGGTGTAGTCGTTAACTTGAAATATGGTGGAATACAAGACTGGACCCTTTTGTGATTAAGAATATTACTGATATTAACCGCGTCAATTCCTTTGTTGGCATATTAAAGTTTAAGGAAAAAACGAATTGTTTTAGTTGCATTTTCTTCCGTAAAACGTGGGGTTTTTAAAAGCCTATAATTTGTAATATCCATAATCACAGATCCGAGCCTATATTCTGGTGTAAAATGGACTTTTCTTGACCTTTTCAAGAAGACTATTTAAAAGTTTCAAAGGGACAGAGTAGAGTTTGGTGCGAATATGATGTAGACCTAACTGTTGATTTACGTAAGGTAGTAATGATTCAAAAGAGACATCGTGTATTAAAGGTTTATTGTAAGACCGATGCCCATGACTACGCTTACGTCTCTGTGTATGGTTAAAAAGTCCCATCACATTTACATTGTTACACTGGGGACTGGAAAGATTTCCAACACTATTGACAATGTTCTTACATCCATAGGGAAAGGCTGTCCCTAGTTTTCTAATCCAGAACTCCTGTTGTCTAGGGAAAGGTGTACTCGGTGATGGACTGTTTGTGTGGTGGTAAATCTTTTCTGGAATTCTAACTTTCATTGACAAAATAGAATGATCAGGTAAATTAAAATGCTTGTATAAAAGCTGCTGACCCCCATTATTTATTTGAAATCTATGACCTGATATTCTTTTATTAAGTGATCCCTTGGTTTCCCCAACATAAACAAGTCCACAAAGATTACATTCTATTTCGTCGACAACATTAGAAGTTCTGCAGTTTAGATTTTCCCAAGCTTTGGTATAGAAGCTGTGTCCAGTAAGATTACTGGTGAAGGAAGTGTTAGTTATCAAAATGTCAAAGGTTTTAGAGTTTTTCGCAGAACATTTTGAAATAGAAGACATGGGATCGGAAAAGGAATCCTCAAATATATCTCTAATAGAAACCTTACATTCTTTCAATTTTTTGTATGAACTATTGGTTTTAAATGAACATTTTCATATTAATTCAAAGTAAAACGTTATGTTCAGAAAAAAGTAAAAGGAGGGAAATTTTCCGATCTAATTTTAGTCCTCTCTCTCTCTTTCTCTCTCTCTCTCTCTCTCTCTCTCTGTGCGTGTGTGTGTGTGTGTGTTCGAGGGTCTCTCTCTCTCTCTCTCTCTCTGGCATTAACAAAAGAAATTCTATAAATATTTGTAAATTAGTAAAAAGCTTAATATATTTTTGTTAAGATATGAAGTTAATTGTTTTAGCTATGAATTTCCACTATTACAAGAAAACCAAAGATGAATGATCATATGCTCTTGAAAGTTAAATAGTAATAAAATTGAATACTTGTATTTTAATAAATTCGTCCTTGATTTATGGACGAATTACGTGTTCCGCACCCCCTTTCAAAACAAACAAGTTCTTTGCATTCTACTTTTCAATTTAATGTAATGGAATCAGAAAATATCTTACAGAAGTTATTTTTATTGCTTACATGTATTTGAGTCTACAACAAAACGTAGCCCCTCACTATTTTATTCATTTTTTTAAGACTGCATTGAAGTTGATCACTGACAGTTACATGTTTCTTCATTAAGTGGACTGACGTTTTTTCATACTAGTTGTCAGGCCATTATTTAAACACTGAATTGTCTAAGGATTTTTCATGACAATGAACAAACGGCGGGCGTGACCGGTCGACTGAAGATGCTTACTCCTCTGCACCTAATCCACCTCTGCTCTGATGTTTTTAGAGGTCCGTGTTTGCTTTGCTCCAAATTTGCTTTGTTTTAATGGACTTCTGAGATTGAATAATGTTCGTTATCTTCATATTTCACGTTACCATTTACTAGTAAAGGGTTTCAAACTTAGAGCTATACTGGACACTTTCGGCCATTAAGCAGTGAGGGTTCTTCATTGTGTCAACGTCTTTTGTGACATGGGATCTACATTTTAAAGATCACATACGAAAGACCCATGACAATCATTTCTAATGCAGGGCGCTTGGCGAAGGAACAGTCACCTATGTTTGACGCGGAGCCGAGACCGAGCCTGATAAATCCCGATTATGAAGCGAACACTCTACAACTAGACTACCAGTCCCTTAAAATTAAATGTTAAAAATCTTTCAATAGATTTTTATGCTGCATTTGTAATAAATATCGTATCTTTGCAGTTGGATTAATTGTCTAAATATTATGAATTGAAGTGATAATTTTCCAAATTGGCAAGTTCTTCTTTTTTTTCAAAAAACTTGAGCAGGAAACGGGGTATTCAGGTATCCCAATGCTCGGACAGAGAAGGACTTCCTGCGACAAAAGCTGTGGACGGTAATTACAGCCAAAATTACCAAGCATGTGCACACACGGCGCCTTACCAATCAAAAGCTTGGTTTCAGGTGGATCTAAGGACGCCCTACAGGCTCAACTCTGTAAAAATATTTTACAGGAACGGTATGTACACGTAGAATAACGCCTTTGAAGTCAAATACTATTATTTACCCAGAAAAAGGTAAATTAGTACCTTGTTCAAACAATTCATTTGAATTTGCACAGATTGTTTTATCTTTAGATTTCTGGAAACCTTACCGTTTTCGTCAGTTCTACTTGGATGTTTCAAACACATCTACAAATTCTTCGACAACACATAGGGTTCAATGCTACAAGGATAACACTACACGTCCAGCCACGCCCCCTCCCGTGATTGAAATTCCTTGTAGACAAAGAGCACGATACGTCATCTTAGAAACCACATATAATGCTCCTGAAAACACACAAGAGACAGGACCTATGCTAGAAATCTGTGAAATAGAAATTTATGGTAACAATATAAATTGCTTTAAGAAAGACCAGCATGAACTAAAAAATATTAATAATTTAGACAAGACTAAAAAATAATGCATTTTTATATCCATATAATTTTCTTAATTGTTTGATGAATATTCTCAAAAAGTTAATGATAAATTGATTACAGTGAATGTTAACCTTGCAAAACTTTAAATTTATGTTTTTCTCGGTATTTTTTATTTTGTAGATAATCTCTTACATCTAAAAATACTTTTAAAAACTTTTAAATTCATCTTAATTTTGTGTGTTCATATTTTCATGATAAAGTGTAGTATAGTGTGAAATGGATGCTTTCTACATATCCACATCTAGTCTTATTAAAAATAATAACTTTCTTTTTTAATGTAAAGTTCAGATCTACATGTAGCTACGTGATATGATTGTAATAAAAAATAAAACAGTTAAACCTCTTTAACCGATTCAAGAAAATTTTTAAGGTTATGGGCAAGGGTTTTTTTTTTTTGTATGGAGATTGAAAATTTTTGACCAACTTACTGTATGTTCATGTATGTTGTGCGTCGTATTTTCCCCGCCTCTTCCTTATATAAAGATACTCCTACATTCAATCATAATCAACCATTTCAAGTCTTTCCTTCACATTGTATGAATAGAATTCAATAGTATAATCATTAAATCAAGAATAAGGCAAGAAACCTGTGCAAGACTTCTTCAAACTAAAATCGAGTGGTTGATGACATGGCAGCTCATACGTTTAGAATAGTGTAGTGTAGAAGTGTATTTAATCATACTGTTCTTTAAGACACAGTCTCCAGGAATTTGAAGAAAAAATCGAAAGAGATATGTAATTCATTAAATGTGCAGTGTTTGGAGTTTTTTTTTTTTAGTTCAGATGAGCTTTCCTAAACTATTTCATTTCAAATGTGCAAGGAGGCCGAGGGTTCGAGGAATAGCATTAAAGTTCTTGATTCGATGATAAGCTTAGTATGACTTTGCCTGTAACTGCGCATATATATCGATAGAGAAAATACTCGGCAGTAATTTTTTTCCTACTTGTAAGCCAAAGTTGTGTGAATCTGATACTAGGAATTATATAATCTAAAACGTTAGATATCAGCGAAAAAAGAGAATACATTTAATTTAAAATCACTTTGGCGACATCGGGAACTCTAAATATGAAATCAAAACAATGCATGAGAATCTACAGAATGAGGTTAAAGAAATAAATTCTGGTAGGAATAGAATTTTGAACTTATTTTATATGACACAATAATAAGTTATGCTTTTTTTTCTTTCTTTTGTTTTCATAATTTTTTTTATTTGTAGTATATGTTTGTGTAATATGTTGTAGCATTATATCAAGCAAATAAAAAGAAATGGAATCTGGTAAGCTAATCTATAACTTTAAAGAAAAATGATAAGATCGGATATAAAGATTATTTTTTTTGCTCTATCAAAAAAGATAACTTATTAGTGACTGACAAACATTAAAATTAAGAGCATTAAATGGTCCATCCCATCGTTAGCACTAGTAAATTCACGATCTCAAATATTTTGGAAAGTTCGTATGAGGTCCATGAAAATTGAATAAAAGTATGGAATCATTAAGGTTTTTGAACAACTTTGCTTCTTTGATGCTATACAAATTCTCAATACTTTTTGAGATATCAGGAAAACACTTTTGGCCCCTCTAGCTCCCTTATTTTAGGGGCCAGCCCCTTATTGTTGATATCCTTTGAAAGATCATTCTACACAACTTTTGTTCTATATGTTCTAACAAAATATTTATAGGTAAAAATATATTGTAGAAAAAGTGTTAGAAATTTTGAAAAACCCGATAGGACTTTTTTCGGGCCATAGCGAGCGTCGGCGTGCAGCAATTCCGGTGAGAATGAAATACGTTTGTCACATCTACATATATTGTTCTTTCAACTCTGAAAATCTCAAGTTTCTCTCTTAAGCCTTTTTTGAGCAAACTCGCGGACAAACCAACTCTCTAAAATTCATTAAAATGCAGAAATCTCGGAACCGGAAGTGACGTCATCAAAACAAAAAAAAATATATGTCTAGATTTTTTATGTTCTATCAGACCTGAGAGTTTCATGAAAATCGAGCAAGCCGTTTCCGAGAACTCGCGTGCACAAAATCGGTAAGAGAAAGAATAATAAAAACTGTGGAAAAGAAACCTAAAAATAACAAGAAGGTCTTAATTCCATTAAAAAGTAAACTACAGATTTCCACAGTGCTTTGGATACCTTTATTTTGGCCTTTTACATCTATATAATTTATAATAAAAAGATTATGTTTTAAATAAAAATACATGTTAACTAAATATGTCAAATAAAGTAGCAGAATATTGAATGAATAAATTGAAAAAATCAAATAACTTAGAAATAAAGCTAAACTTAAGGCAATGGATTGTAATAAGCAATCTTCAAAACTGATATATGTTCCAGCTTCTATGACAGAAAGAATAGATTGATTCAAATTAATGTACATTAATAGCTAAATGTGCGTTAGTTACGCTTGGAAAGAAAGTTTTTTTCACTTTAGATCATCACGGGAAAAAAAAGTTGCTTAATTTAGAGGTATACTATTCAGAAGACTCGCTCCTAAAATCACCGACATGTCTGTCTCTCCGTCCAATACCTCTTTTTTTCACGGAGGTTTATTTTTTTGTTACTAGTCTAATCTGGTTCATACTTCAACCAAAGAGTTTCCACGGAGTAAATGGTATGTGTAATCTTGATTAAAGTTTCTATGTCAAAGAAAAAGGTCAAAATAATTTTCGACTTCAAAAATATATTTTCTGCTCTGCATCACAATCTCGTCCATTTTTCAAGACGGGTTAATGAACATTTTCGGAATCTACGACACCTGACATCGCACTACGAACAGCGGACTGCAAACAAAAGACAACTTACGGGGAGCGTATACAAATACGTTTTAACATTTACCTGAGAATATTCTCTCAATGTCTCTGACATCTATTAAAACGAAGAAATTTTTAAAAATTAAATAGGTCAGAATTGTAGAGATTGAGAGAGATAAAAAATATTTCGATCTCGGCACATTTTGCAAACAATTGAATTACTACATTAATTGATCATAATTAAAAATGTGTATCTTTACATTATATGCAATTATGGCGGATTCAGAGGGGTTACGGAATGCACCCCTCCCTTTGATTTTGAAAGAAATAAAACAAATTAAATAAGGATTGTAAAAAAATGTTAAAAAGAGGTGAAAAGGAAAGAGTTGTGACTGTATCCATGTTATTGGAATTTGAATGTGTACATTGTAACAGACAATAATAAAACTTTATACTAGTATTTGATTTATCTTTTTCAGCATTATGAAGTCTTTCAATATTTCGATTTCTCTCCACTGCACACGAAATTAGAAATTTAACTGATTTTTTTTTATTTTAACACTTTATACACATCAGATCGGTTACACAGCAAATTGTGCCACGTACGTATCACGTACGCTAAACGTATGTGATACGTACGTGACTTCACGTACGTACCACATGAAAAAAGCACCACGTATGTTAAATGTACGTTTTCACACGTATGAATATCATGCGTGACACGTACGTTAAATATACGTATTGACTACCATACGTTACACACATGTTGCACACGTACGTTATTCATATGGTTCACGTATGAATAACGTACGTGCAACGTGTGTGTAACGTATGTTTTCAGAAACATGCGTTTAACATGTTTGTTAAATGCACTGCTCATATGATAAATGTACAAGTACCATACATGTGCCAAACCATGGTTAAACATATGTTTTGACCACCGAACATTCTTTTTCACATATATATTGTAAACATACTTGAAACAAAAATTATGTGCAATTAAAATATTCATTTCATGCATTTGACATAATTTTCTTCAGGGGCTTATTTTCTTTTCATCTGTTGAATGATCCACATTTTGAAGGTACATATCTGGATATCCTTCACCTCAAATTTCCTGATCCTAATTGCTCTATAAGCAATCACAACAATTACATATTCAAATTTAAGCCAATTTTAATGTTGAGATGTTAACATTAATTCATTCTTCTGCAATTTCTCCCTTTCATCTGTAAAGAAAAAGAAAATATCAAATGAATTTGCATATGGAAAAAAACATAGTTTTTTTTTCAGAACATTATTATTTTCTACATATAACTCCTGGTTGACTTCCTTTAGAACTAGACTAGAACTGTCCAATATGGACAAATACCCCCCACTGGGTTTTTCAGAGAAGATGCCAAGTCACTAATGCTAGTATTTTCGGATCTAAAAGGTGTTCAAAAATTGTTTATACATTTAGAGAGAAAATTTACCAGTAATTGCTCATTATATTTTTTTAATGAATGAAACTTTGGCATAGCCTAGTAATACAGCAATAGTAATAATAATATTGTTTTTTATTACATTGAAAAATTAATAACAATTTTTTAAGTATTTCTCTGTTGGAAAGTATGGATGCATTATTTATCCATTTTTTCTACAGTATGTGACTATAGGTCAGGATCATGACACACCCTCAGGTCATAAACAATCTTTGTATGAAGTGGATAATCCCAACATCCAAAATTATCCTCCATAGGAAAGATACAGACCGAACACGAATTATGAACTTTTT